TCCCTGCTTCTCCCACGATTAACCACCTTTTCAACCCTCATCTTCGACAAGACAAGCCAAAAAACGGGACTTTCCCCGTCTTACTGTACCTCTCCACCCCTTCTCCCCTCGTTGAATTCTCTTCGCCACCCACGCTATCTTCTTTTTCCCAAAACTGCCAACTCTGTACTACAGGATCCACCAACCTCCCATTCCCAACCCCTTAACTTAGATCCCCCCTCCCTTGGACCGGTCCCTCAACCCCATCTTCCTCCTCCCACCCCCCACCCCCGTCGTCCTCCGGTGAATGGAAATGCAATATAGCCTCTTCTTTCCCTCTTTCCCTTCCTCTTCTCTCTGCACCGTGGTCTCGTAAAGGCATAATATACACAAACCAGTTTCTGAAAAGATGTACAGCATCCGGCGCCCATCGACTGAGAAATACTCCCCACAAAACCCGGATGGCTTCGAGCCAACCCTCTCAGGCAGTCTCGCCTGCGATCTGGCCGTACCATTTCTCATGACACTTCCAGTCCACTAAGCGCACTCTGTCGAGGGTATCCACAAGTCGGTTGACCTCCTCCAGGAACTCGGGCATCCCAGCGCGTGCCAGAACTTCCCCTGCACTCGTCGTACTCCGGGCTCTCTCAGCCGTGCTAGCAGCCGAGAGCCTAGCAAAGACATGTTCTCGCAGTGTCTTTAGAAGGAAACTCGCAATTTGTTCGCTGAACACATCTGCGCTTGTGGTCCCAGTTGGCTCGTCTATTGTTCCGCCATTGACCCCGACCTGCCGTGCTTGCTCTGCTGCCTCGAGGTTTTTGGACGCAGCTGCGGCAGTGGGTAGAACTCGCCCAACGAAGTTGAGCAGTCCTTCTTTGGTTGATTCTGGCATCATGTGGGATGATTCAATGAGGGAGACGATCCGGTTGGCATTGACTTTCGAAAGGTCCAATGCCATCAGACGTTCCGCATCTTTTGCCCACAAAGACTCCCTGTTGCGCCTGAGCCGGATCTTGGTGGTAAGTAGGATTGAGGAAATGGCCACTATTTGGAACACTCGCGCCCGTAATCTGAGCAGGCGTATGTAGTCAAGGTGTAGCGGCTCGGGAATGTCCCGGTTGCTAAGATGTGAGTTGCGCAAGACGAGGTCGGTCAGGCCTCTGGCATATACCGCAGATGCGCTCGCGGATAGAGATCCCACGTTTGACCTCGCATTTATCCACCAGTCCTTGGCTTTTGCGAGTGTATGGACACCTTGCTCGAGGTCCCGTTCAAATGATGCAATTTCGTGTTCGTGGCCGTGTTCAAGCACCGCCTGAGAGGCCAGTCTGAATTGAAAGTTGATGTGATCCAAGCTCATCAAGTCAATAATATTGATGAGTTCAAAAAGACGATCGACTGTGTCGCTGGTCGTATTGCCGCTAAAAGCATTCACGATTTCGTCCCGGCCAGGAGAGCAGATCTGTGCGATCAAGCCCGCGACGGTCCTGAAAAACGAATCATACGAGAACATACCATTTCGGCACTGTTGACTGATCAATACTGGATCCAGAAAGCCGTCCATCCTGCTATGAAGTGGATGCCGTGGGCTGATCAACAGCATCAGCTTCTCTCGGATGAGGACTGCCATGGAGTGAGTCCACCTCGCCGTGGCTTCTCTGTCTCCATTCTGAAGATCTGCGCGCATTCTGTTTCGTAGCGAGTCTGTCAAGCCCTTACGGGCGTCTGTCCAAGGTTGCTGTTGCACCTCAAAGCTACCGCTGACCAGTATTTCGTGCGCAATCTCCCGATTGGTTGGTAGTAGAGTCATCATCTGTGAGAGACTGTCCGTGAAAGACGTTACCCCCGCCACTTGATCTTGTCGATCGGCCCGTGGTGTTGGAGGAGGTGTCATCAGGGTTCCTTCTGTCACATTCGACTCTGTCGCAGCAGGCGTCGAGGCTCGTGGGACTTGCTCTGCTCCATTCTGTCGCTTTTCTGCTGCCCTTTGCTTCCGTGCCTTCCTTACAGCTGTACGAACTCTTGACAAAGCCTCCTCTGGCCCTGCCAGCCGCTTCAGACGAGCCAGTAGCCTGATCTGCTCCTGTCGGACAGCATCAAGATAGTCATCAGCAACGCGGCCCCGATGGTCGTCTTTGGTGGCCTGCAGAATCAAGTCCAGATTAACAAATGAATTGACCATGACATCCACAAGAACACCCAAGTCCTGACTTTTCCACGCCTCAAAAGTCGAGGTAAAGTCGTTGAGGGCAAAGGAAAAGGCTTCGACCTGGGGCTGCGATAAAATCGGCTGCGGCGCAGTTGTCATGGTCTTGATGTTAGACTCGAAGGCCTCAACCAGCGCACGGGATTTCGTCATGAGCTCTTGCTCCTGAGGCTGTCTCCCACCATGGCTGAAAGCTTGCATGGGATGTGTTAGGACAAGGTATGCACTCAGGAACACCCGCACAACGCCCGAATTTTCTTGGCCATTGTCAAGAACGCCCAGGTGTCTGAGAATAGACGTCGTGGCAGCAGTAGTTCGTTGATCCGAAATGAATTGAGTCAATTGCTCGAAAGAGAGCGACTTGGCTCGCTGCAGGTCGAGTCCCAGAGCCGAAAAGTCGGAGAGCACCTTGCTCGCGTGGTAACGTCGCCACGATCGCTGAATGACTTTTGCAGCATAGACGCGATTCGAGCGCTTCAATGCTGCTGGAGCGACCTTTTTCTCCTCGACGGCTGCGAGCGACGTTGTTCGGGATCGTCGCGTGCCTTGTTGGTACATAGACCTGCGTCTATCTGCCTCTGCATACTTCTCCGCCATCTCTTCCTTCAGCCTGGCCAATTCCGCGGCCCTTTTCTCCTTCGTCTCCTCGGCGATCTTTTTGGCTCGTTTTACTTCTTCCTCACAGCGGGCTGCAATTTCAGCGAGCAATTTCTCCCGGGCAGCCTGCGCCGCCAAAGCCTTCTCCTCGCTGTAAGATGCCCTTTGCGCCGCCTTCGCAGCGGCGGCTCGGAGCCTGACCTGTTCAGCATGAGCGGCACGGTCGGCCAGGCGCGCTTTCCGACTCTCAATGATGGATGCTCGTCGAAGGTGTTGTGCAATATGGGTGCTCCGGGGTCCGCCATGACTAGACAGCGCGGAGGAATGGGAATGGATCGACGACAGTGAACTGCGGCGGGACGAGTTCGCAGAGGACTTCCGCCGCACAGAGGACTTGCGGTGAAAGCGATCAGCTATGCGAGCCGGTGGTTCGGTGTACGACTGCGATTCATCGATGCTCAAGTTCATCTCGACATCTTCGAAAGCTGGGGTCGTCGGCGCCATGCTGAACTTCCGGTAGGAATTGGTACGGCTCGAGAGGAGGATCAACTGAGATCAGCGGCTTCTCTGAACTGAAATGAAACAAGGTTGAGGGCTGAACGAAAAGCACTTCTCGGAGTTCAGTCGAGAAGCGCGCAAGGCGTGGTGTAACACCGGCTGACTCTCAAAGCCGCCGGAAACGTCACACGAACGACGCGCAACAAAGAAGGTCTGTACAAGAAGGAAATGTTCGCAAAAGAGAGCGTCGAAACAAGATGAGTCAAGGAAATGCTCAAGAGGGGACGGGGCGGGAGGCTGGGAGGGGGAGAATGGGAAAATTGGAAAGTTTGTGCCATTTGGGAATGACGAAGCCATGGTTGTTGTTTGCCGCAGGCTGTGGCTGCTGGAACCTGCCAGCATCGATGGATCACAGCCACCCGTCAGCCAGTCGGGATTCCGTCGGCACAAGAGCCACTAGTGTCCCAAGAACCCAGGCGCCCACCCAGCGCCTGCCTACCTATCAGCCCCTAAATTCCACCAGCCTCGCCTAAAGGTCTCCGGAGCTCGGCAAGCAGCCACTAAGCAAAACAACACCACCGCACCTGACAAACTGCGGTTCATTGTTCGTTGTACCTCGTGTGCTTGTATATGCTGCGCTCGGATGACACCAGTCAATGTCCCCAACTTCCTCGATGGTCGGAATTTTGCATTGAACTACATCCCTGATATCTCTATCTAGCAGCCTTCTGTTGATGTACGGCTTCTCAACTCGATCGGACTGTATCACACCTCGCTCTAACCGAGACGAACCCTTGCCATGCTTGCTACTTCCAGCCTTCCCCCGATGTCGAAATACCTCAGGCATCCATAGTCTCAGGATTTTCAAGTGTCTCCTACAATACCTGCTCGATAGTGTGCGAGCCACACGGGATATACAGGATCGGCAATTCTAGAAGACGATGCGTGCGTTGATGGTCTTTTCAGACGTGTCCAGAACCAAAAAGAGGCAGGAAGTGCTACTCAGTCACGGCCAGTGTTGCCTGTCTACATGATAATACCCGTGGAATTCTTTTAGTTGGAGGCTGTGGCATTCACGATAAGTCGACGCACCATGTGCCCAAACCAAATTCTCTGTCTGGTGCTTCTCTCGTATGGTTTCCTTGAGCCGAAGTTTCGTCCCCTTATGTGGCCAGGTATCACCGGATTCGCAAGCCTGTGGCCAGCCGAGAACCGGATCCGATGTTGATATACACTCTTGTAAGTTCAGAGCTTGCAGTCCAGGGACGGCTTGATCCGCTACGCGGAGATTTTTTTGTTTGAGAACTGGTAAGGGAAACGACAAGAAACACTTGCAAAAAGGTATTCAACCTGCAATGTCTCCTCGAGGCCTTTACTACATTCCTTCCGCATTTGATGTTGCATACTCTCGCATTGAGAACAAGCAGGCTCAAAAGCGCTATCATCATCGTGCGGTGTGGTAGAAGCCACAACGAACTGATAAAGACATATCCAAAGCCCAGGGCGTGCTGGCTGCTGTCCACGAGAACAGACCGGACGTCAAGTATCAGGTTGGATAGGGAAACACAGCAGCTGGTGAGTAGCCTCAGATGAGGACTAACCATAGATCCTGTGGCAGTTACGACTGAAGTACTCTAAATAGACATCTTAGCACACCAGAGCCTATACGGATGCCAGAACAACTGAGCGAGGCCGTGGGACGTGTCCTCTCAGAAGGTTTGCTTTATTGCAGAGGTCAGTCCCTTTCGGAAGTTGAGGAGAATTTTAGACAGGCCCGAGACCCGACGAAGAGCTCTATTTAGCACTCATCTCCAGGGCAGGAGAGCTCTTGGAGATGCCATTGTGCGCTGTATCAGGCTGTCTTGCTGGTTTCGCAACGCGGTGCGACGAGTGGCATGCCGGGATGATAGCGACATTATCAGGGGAATCTGCTATGATATTGCTTGGTCTGCCCACATATTCCTATCGCAAGAGGTTCCACACGACAAAGCACAAGCAGAGGTAAGTCATAGCATTCCGTGATGGATTTATGCTGACAGCACGAGGCCAAAGACTATGAGAGGAACTGGACTTTTGGGAACAATCAGCCCGAGGCCAGTCGAACAGATGAACTACGAGACAACTTCGTATGCTGCTGCTGGAGCACAAATCGACTGTCTCAAAGACGACAAGGCTTTCCTGCCTCTGTTCACACGATTTGTGCTTGTACGCATTACACTCAATTACAAACAATCATTGGATGGACGGAAACGCCAGCGACACAGTATCTAGGACGCATGAACGCCTAGAATGCAGGCAAACTTCTACATCCAAGGCCTGAGATGTTTCCTGAGCAGTGTCTGCCCTCTGACGAGGTTCTCGCTGTCCAGGCTAGCCACACTGTCACCTTCGTTACAGTCTCTTCCCTGTCAGCGCCGACGGCCGGGTCGGACTGAGCCTACGTTGCGGAATATAGAGTTTCTCATACCCCTCCTGACTGCACGAAGGGACTGCACTATTGCGCCAATGCCGGTGGATGCCAATCAATTTGGCGAAGAGACGATCTTTCTCGACTCTCCCACGTCCAATGCCAATTCTACGATGTATGGGCCCAGCCCTTTTCTTGAGTCCGACATGTCAGAGGGAAAGTTCAGACAGAAAGAACACATGTGATGCTGGGAATGGACCTGACCATGGGTGGACTTGTTGCCAGCTGCTGAATCAAACTTCCTGCTAGTGATGAAAGCATATGACTACAACCAGGTCTGGGGTTCGACCTGCTGAATACGACTTTGGAACTACTTGGGGCCAAAACTTAATCTATCTGCGCTAAGTGCACATCCCATAGCTCCGGCCTCTGCCTCCTTCATCATCAACGATCGACAACTTGTGCTAGCGTGGTGCAGGAGAACTACCCTGGTCGCATTGGGAAGTCTCCTTTTCAGAACACGAGGGTATTGCCTCTCTAAGACGACGGGTCCAAATACCAGATCTCTCATGTTTGCCGCCTTCCCTTTCACGCCAGGGATGTTCCACTCCTACATGCCTTTATTGGACGGGGAAAGAAGCTGTGCTTGACCAGGACACCCCAATCTTGCGCACGGAAAGGTTGTGCTTAACAGATGAGCATGCTGGTCCAGGAGCTCCAGTCCCACTTCCATGCGGCAGGAAACGTCAGCATTGGCTTATTTGGGACAATGAGGCCAAAGACTTGAGTTGATTGTTGGCGGCAAACCACTGACCATGTGCTAGCGCCGGCGTTCGAACTCCTGTGCTTGCGCACAGACCCATTTCTCGACATCCTGGAACCTCCTGATTCACCGTCTCTTCTCTCTCCACTCTTGCTGGTGTCAATCGGGGTCATGGCAGGCGACGGCGGACCCACGTTCACCAGAATCACCCTCGACAATCCATGGCTCTGAGGAGAGAAGCAGTGTCTGGATACGCATTGAGGTTGACTCCCACCTCTTCCCGCCTTGCAGCCGGCACCAATTGCCCTACACCAAAGGTCAACGCAATACGGGACGAAACACCTGCCACCTAGCAAGTGGGGAAATGTCAAAAAGGGATCTCGACGCCTGGCCGTCGGATTTTGACCATCCGCTGATACCATTACTCTCCGCACAAATTTTGACATGGCCCGTGCAGCGATACTGTTAGCTGAACCTGTTAAAGTTTTCCCGTCAATCTCTGGCAAGTGCATTGTCTCGTGCTATCTACACGCCGCCACCAACCAGAAGACTTGCGGCTGGACATTTGGCCGTGCGAGTCACCAGTGCCATTTTCGCGGTGCTTGCATTCCAGCTACATCATCCGACAAGGATTAGCTGAGATCCTGCTGGGAAGAACTCCGATCTTGAGTGATATTCAGATGGGCACGATTTCCACATCTTGTCTGGAGATCGGCCACCTCGATGGGAAGCATCTCGGCAAGTGACGGCGTCCTTGGTCACTAAAGGAGTAACGGCTGCAAATGCCGGACTTGCCCAAATCGCTCTTTGAGATCTCCACAAGACGGGAACAGTGCTGGGAATGAAGAGGCAAAGCTCGATCAAGTCGCCACAGCAGTTTCCAGTTCAACCCGATGCGGCATGGCTTTAGGGGAACAACAAGCGAGATCTCCACGCTCCTGCTTCAATGATCCCCTCCCAGAATATTACCTGTCACATTGAGGTCAGCCTCAGGGAGGAGACCTTCAGACGCCGCTCGTTATTGGCCAGTTATTTTTTGCCAGCTTCAAATTTCCTACATCTTCACGAGTCTGAATTGTTGGATGATCGGCGCCCGTTTGACACCATGGGCCAAGCTTACAGCCTTCCAAGCCTGATCACAGCGAGCATGGCAGACAATACCTTCTCCAAGTGTCTGTACTCCGGGGAAGCTCGAGTTACATCCGCGCGTCAATGAGCGAAGGTCGACCACCCATGCAAAGCTTCGTCCCAAGATTTAGCGTCGTCTCCCTTCGTATCTTGAGCGAAAAGTCCCCCTTGGCCCTGATCAAAACTCACATTGCAAACTATGGGGAAGTCAAGCGGCCGGGGGTTGAGGACGCGAACCCATGTCGACTGGATGGGTCGGTGGCTTTCCTGCAAAACTCCCTCCCTTTTTCCTGTTGTCCATGGTTCCCGCTCTCACGAGACGGTCGGTGGTTGGATCTTCTGGCAGCCTGCCAACAGCCCCCCGCGCCAAGTTGACGCGGACCTTTTGACGAATGATTGAAGCCATACGAGAAGCCACCACCGTTCGAGATCCAACTTGCAGCCGGTTCACCCTTGCCGGCCCCCACGATCCGAGATTTACAGGGCTGTCGTGAGACTAAATGCTCTGCCTCAGTCTTTGAATGAAAAGCGGATACCTTTGACCCTTTAGCGACTCGCCATCGCACTAGGCGGTTCCCTAGTTTCCCTCTGAAAGCGCGTGCTGCCCACCATCACGACCACCAAGCCTAACTTTGGCAATCGGAATGATTGCGTCTGCAGACCTGCCAGGCGGAGACTGACTATTGAACGCCCTCCTGAGATGTTTCTTGGACTCACCATCTGTCTAGTCCTCGTTGCTTTACGGTCAAGCTGTGCTCATCGCGGGGCTCAACCCACTCCTGATTGGCGTAAAGCAATGGCAGGTCCATCCTAGACGTTCGCCTTTGCTCGTCAACGAATCAGAGCTGCGTCCGGGCTAAGCTGGTATACAGCTTGATATGAATTTCGGGTCAGTCTTCATGTCAAGATCGAATTCTCAGGGCAGGTTGTGCTCGAGTGGATCGCACTTGAAATGAACGACGACCATTTCGACGCTGTTATAAACCTTGGTGTGCCCCCGTCCCGTGCTGACTCCTTTCCCCATGCTTTTTCCGTGGTGAGGCTTCCGCTACTGGTTGCTTCCGCCCTCTTCCATGTCACTAATGGCAGCACCTGCCATCCAGTCTTCGGAATACCTCGGAGGTCAAGAGTCGGGAAAGAAAAGAGAGCGCGAGGTCACTGACACCGAAGCTCAACAGGAGACGAAACGAAGGTCTGACAAATCCAGGAAGCAAGTTCACTGGGATCTGGCTCCGATGCCTCCGTCTTCGGCTTATTCGCAACCTCCTTCCTATGTCTATTCTAAACTCCCCAAGTAGGTTTTGTCCACGTCGTTCGACACATGCCACTGACAGAGAGGATCAACAGCTTCATAGAGCCTCGTATCCCAGATGCGTCCTACGATCAAGCTTCTTTCAAATCAGGTAGCTCCCGTGGCACTTGGTCTACGGAAAGCGCCTCAAGCCGCACGGCGCAACCTGTTCATCACCCAGGCGCCCCTTGTCATTGCAGTCATGGTGTCAATACATGGTGGGCAACTTCCACAGGGCCCGTGCCATCAATACCATGGCTCACAACGAGTCTTCCCCAACTTCAACTTGGGAATGTACCAATCATCCCTTTGGAAGTTGCACTGCCAGTCTCTGATAGTGGGGGCCGGTCCAATCCATTTCAACTGGCTCCATTCCTCTGGGCTGGTACCGAAGAACCTCAGAGCTTGAATGTCAATGAGGACGCATCGATTGCACCAAACGGCACTGTACCACGGGCAGAGTGTGCAGACCAATTCCGGCCCGATACCACGGCCAATACCTCGTTCATTGCGCAGGCACTGGAAAGCGCGGACGTGATACCCGCTGGGTGTCCGATTAGCCAAGGTCCGGGATACACTGAGCCCCCATATCCTTCTTACGCTGGGGACAACACGGGCCCAGGTTATACGGCAGCAACTCTACCAACGGACGCTGGGCCCCCACCAATCGCAGTCGACGTGTTCACCAGCAGCACGGTTGACTCAGGTGCAGGATACAGTTTTGCTCCCCCTCCAAATGTCAACCTGGAGGGGAACTACTCTGTTTCCTACTCGGCGACCGGCCCATCCCCCGCCATGGCTTGCCCAGTGATGGCTCCTACGTTCGACAATCAAGCCGTCGAGCAAGTGACGGCCCAGAGCTATTCTCTTCCATCTCCACCAGAGGGCTATATCCCACCTGGGAACACCGCACAACAACCAGCTGTGCGCTGGCTTCCACCACTGACGGGACAGTCCTACAACCTCCCGGTACAGCAAACATCGGTACGTATCTACTCGTCTCTTGGATTGGTGCTCTGAATTGACGACTAACACTCTGCGTGGTACAGGATCCCTTCAACTGGCAGTCTAGCCAGCAGTGGGCGGCGTGGCCAGCAAGCTGCTGATTGGCATTGGCCGAAAGCAGACCTGCCTGAGGAGACGTGCCAGGTACCACGTTGTTCTTCCTCTGGGACGGGAGCGACATTGACAAATGGCGCGTTCCCCTATATCTGCTATATCTGAGACGGGAGATATGACTTTGTGCCTGAAATGCCCGCGCATGAGAGCAACAGGACGGAAGAAGGCGCGGAAGAAAGGAAGTGTTTATCCAAGACCCCCAAAAGTTATATGCCATTGGCATCTGATCTTTGGCACTCGCCCCACTGACACAGAAAGGAGGCATGTGTCCCGAATCCTTATCTTCGTTGTGGCTTTCTACGGTTTTATCCATTTTTCAAACGATACTGAGGACAATAAGAGCTCAACCACTTGCTCCGTCTGACACCATCTTTGGGGTGATATGGTTCTTTCTCACCAGGCACTGCTGCTTGTCGCTCTCCCGGTCTTTCCCCGATTTTAATGATTCATGTTTGCGGTTGTGGTTGTGATTGTGGCTTTTGCGCCGTGCTTACGGCATGGCAATGGTGTTTAGCCGCACAGGGGACCAGAGAGAGAGAGAGAGAATAGCTACTTGGCTGAGTATCTAGATAGCTATGTACCTACAGACAAGGACGGCACAGGCCAAGACTGTCTATGATAATGAGATGAGATGAGATGAGAGATGACGAATGATTCACTATCTGAGTGATTGGCTGACCTAGTCACCTAACTGAGATCTGTATTGATATTTGATATTGATACATGCACGTGTATCGGTTTGGTTCACCCTACTTTCACTCAGTTACTCACTCGCTCATTCAATCATTCATTCATTCATTTTGTCCCAACTTTTGTGTTTATTCTATTCTGCGCTACGAAGCAAATGTCGCAGTTGGGTCGAGGGAGTGGGTGCCTTTCCCCGGAACCTTTCCCTTGGCCTGGCACGTGTGCCTGGCGGCAATGGTTCGTAGTGTCTAGGACGTGCTGCCTGGTGCTTGGTGCTTGGTGCTCGTGTGTACGGGGTAAAGATACTCGATGACTCGATGCTCGATGCTCAAAGACGCGGTTCCGCAAGCGAACGCTTCGATCGTGGCTAGCCGGGTCGGATCAGAGTAGAGCAGAGCAGGGCAGGGCAGAGCAGGCCCCTGATTCCGAATCTGGATTCAAAAGCACAAGCGGAAACGAAAACGAAAACGCAAGTCAAAAAGTTGGGACCCCCCAGTAAAGCCAGGTGTCAGTCAGGAGTCAGCTGCCATGTGCCAGGATGTAAAACCTCGGAGGGACTTGGAGGTAGGTTGGTGGAGGCATGCGGCGTGTATGGAAATGGAAATGGAAATGGGGATTGTTCATATTCCTTGTTTGACCAAGGTAGACAATGCACCGCGCCGCACCCATGTGATGCATGTCATGGCACGGCATGCATGTGCCCTCTCTGAAGCTTGATACGAGCACTCCTTCCAAGTTGAACCTGGCGAGAACCTGGCGTGCCTGGCACTGGCGTTGGCAATGGCAATGGCACTTGCACTGACCGGGTGACAGAGTATCCGCCAATGCTACCCGCCCTCGTATCCTCGTAGAACTCATAGTAGGATCGGCAAAGGGACATGCTCGTTTTGCTTGACCTGTCACGCCTGTGTCCGTCCCCCTTTCTCCTTCCAACCCAGCATCCCGCACCCCCACCGCAAGTTGAGCCTGGGGGGGTGCAAGGAATCCCGTACTGGGGAGCACCAGTAGCTGAATCTTGCTCGGGTTAGAGTGGATGGAGCAAAAGGACAGAGAGACCTAGATCGTGACAATGACACCCTTACACAGCGAGAAAACCAGGGGGGCTGGGAAAGAGGTGTCGTCAGGCTGAGTAGCAGTCGCAGTCGCAGGTTGGTCTCACCGAGGCCGTTCCCCATTCAAAACGAGTTGGTCTCATCTTAGTCGATCCGGCTCTCTCGTCAAGGTCATGCATGAAAGCCATGGGGCTAACAAGGACAGCACAATTGCATTTGTCATTGCTTTCTCGACTCCCCCGCGGGGGGCTCACATCGCACGGTATCGTGAGAAGCAAGATGAAGCGAGAGACAGAGATGGCACATGAGAATGAACTGCATGAATGAATGCATGAGTGCATGAGAGGAGATGAGTTGAGTTTAGAGAGGCCGTGGAAGTGGAAATGGGAATGAAGTGTGGATTGGCTTAGGCCGGTGAATCTATCCCACATCACACCCCATCATCATCATCCTCCTCTTCTCTGGGCCAACCACTGTTGAGGAGTTTGACATCGAGGCATGGTGTGCCACTCTTTCGCCGTCGAATCAGACGCAGGCGCGTTTGCGCTTCCGCCCTTCGGAACGACGGGAGGGGAGCGATGATCGTGGTCCGTTTTTGTTGCTAGTTAGAGCTTCGATGACTTGCCTACTTGGCCCAAAACCTAGCTCAACTGCCTTTACTTGCTTCTTCTGACCATGGTGAAATCTAGAGTTTCAGCGTCGTGCGTGCAGCATGCATGCAGCATGCACCTGAGGCGTGACGCGTTCGACAAAGACCGCTGTGGACATACCTGAGCTGATGTGGCTGGGTCCCCCGGAGCTCCCAGCGCTTGTTTTTAGGTGTGTTACACAAAGAAGTTGACCAGCGCCATCCCCCACTCTGACCGCCTGTGGCATCAGAGAGAGAGGGTCACACGCCTGATTGCACTTGATCTGGGCCCCTCTCTTTCTCTGACTCTTGGAACATCACCAAGGCGGACGGTAGGAGAGATGGACCGAAAGCGAGTGGCAATAATCCGTGCAGTGCTTGGTTCGACGAGGATGGTGATCTCAGGCAGGAAGGGATGGCACAGGGGTTCGCTCCGACCCCTGCTGAAATCTAGCTTTGGATGGGTTGGTCGGTCGGCAGGGAGGGAGGCAGATACCCAGTTGCACTCAGTGGGTCTGTCCTCGGTACACGGTACTCGATGCCCATCTCTCGTGGAACTTGTAATCGATCGGAAAGAGATGATAGAGAGAATCAAGCCAGTCTTGCTTGTCATTTGCCTGACTAGAACTAGATACGGAGTAGTGGTGAATGGGTCGGCGATCGATCGAAGGTAAACGGTTCAGAGACTGTTGGGGGCTGATGCTAGCGAGGTCAAGGAAAAGCGTATTCGGCAGGATGACGCCGGCGATTCAATCGATGGAGGAAAACGTGTCTTCAGTGCACATGCAGGTGTTGCCAAATATTTGCTCAAACTTGCGCGAGGAAAAAAACAACCTTCCACCACCACCACCACCACCCAGCCTGCCACAAGTTTTCAATCCAAGTGCCACTGCCGAGTACAGTCAGTCCTTCGAATTCCTGATCCCCTCCATCCCTCCCTCCATGGCAAAACTCGGCGCCCAGAACAGGACAATATCTTTGCTATAGGTTGGTATCTGGTATCATTGTTGACCTGCGGAATCGCTGCCTCGCCTCCTCATCCTCCAATGTCCTCATCGTGTCTGCTACTGTGTCCGAACCACCATCCACTCGTTCACTCGTCCACTCGTCCAATCGAGCAGAACATGCCCAGGACCACCGGTGTATGCCCAAGAGCCCTCGAACAGCAACTAACCGTGCTGACGGACTCAATCGTTTGTAGTAGCTCTCCCGAACCATCATTCAATTTCCTCAAACAGCCAAATACATATGCGGCGTGGTGACGGCTGGACAGAGGCAATCCAGGGAGTGAAGGGCTAGACTCACACTCCATGCCATGGCTCTCCTACCCTCTCCCCTTCCACAAAATGCCCATTATCGCATTTCTCGAGCCGTCGTGAGATTGCTGAATGCATACTCAGGTTTGTTTAAGCGTGCCATCTCAGTCAGTCAGTCAGTAAGTCGCGGGCGGCGATGGAACGCCCAAGCTGGCCTGACCTAGCCTGGCCATCCATCGTCTACCGTCAGCCTCGTGGCCAGACAGGGAGCAAGGCAGCTAAGACATTCTTCAATCTCCCGGAGGAGGACCCAGTAGAGTCGACGGACGGCTATACTATGCTATGCCAGCCGTGCACTCGATCGACGTTGGCAAGTATGTATGCACATCCCATCCCATCCCATTATCTGTCAATTCATGTCCATGTCCGTGTTCGTGGCCAAGAAGACACTACAGGAGATATGCTCGCCTGCAAGACTTCCCCAGATGGCTGGGATCAATTTAAATTGCAACGAGATTACTTTTGTGTGTATGCGCGTGTGCGCCAGGCACTTAAGTCCATGTTGACATAAAAAAGTCTTCGTCATCATCCGAGTCGTTCATCCGTCCCAAACGGGCACTCTACAACTGGGCAATATCGACACACCAACAACTGTCCAAGCAAGCATTCTCATTTCGTCATTCTCGTCAGACATCCTTTCCAAGTCTATGATATGCGGTAGCGCTGGAAAGAATGCCAGAAAGGTTTTGCATAGACCAAACATCACAGATCGCTCTGTGCAGTTGAATACACCAAATGCTCACAAGGCTGTGAAAATGCCCCATTCATTTCTCATGTCAGCTCCCATATACATGTCTTTCCAAAGCTTCATCGCGCCTCAGACCCAGCTGAGACCCCATCAGGTAAACTCCACGGTTCCTCCAGTTCTGCCTTCCCTGGCTAACCTCGCCTGAGCCCGTTCTGCCCGCCTCCTTCTCCTATTATTAGCATATTCTGTCGCTCCACTTGTCTCCGTCCCAGGCGAAGTGATACCACTTCCACCTGGATACCCCAGGTTGCTAGCTGATCCAGGGATAGGTGGCGGAGGCGGAAGAGGCACTTGGTATGCCTGCGGAGCGCCGGTTTGCACGTTGTGCGGATCGGCTGGAGCAGGATATGGAATCGTCGGAGCAGGGCTAAACCCGGCAACAGACGTTGGTGGTTGAGGAGTCACGGCTGTGGCCGGGTGTGGCATGGCAGCAGCTTGGGCAGCAGCTTCATTCTGAGCAGCCTGTTCGGCTTCCAGAGCTTCAGTGCGCCTCCACCGTCGATCAGCACTAGTTGCCCCCATAGCCTCACTGTCACTCCCGCTGAAACTTGAGCCTCTCCTTGACCTCCTCGCCGCCGCAGAGGCCTGGCGTTCTCTCCTGCGCGCTTCACGCTGTGCCGCGGCCTCTTCCTCAGTCAATCGTCGAAGGGTCACTTGGCGACCATCGTTGTGCATGTTTATCTTGACACTGACAGGTGGGGATTCCATGCTGTCCGTGTTGTTGTTACGGCTGCCTTGTCTTCGCTGACGGTGAGACTCCTCCGCTGCCGCGGCTCCCAGGGCTGCTCCTGCCAGCCCAGCGGCAGCTTCGTCGCGGAGATGATGTCGATGCCGTTGTCGGCCGGATCCAGTGGTGTAAAGTTCGCTGCCTGATGACTCGAGGTGAGGTGGTGGAATAGGGGGTATTTCTGCATGGCTGGGGCCAGGCACAGGATAAGCAGAAGAAGGCGGAACTGGCTGTGCGATGGGAGGATCTTGGCCTATTGGTCTGATCCGATCTCTGTCCGCAAGAGCGCTTGCTGCCGCGGCTCCAACGCCTGCTCCCACTGCTGGTGGGATGGCTCCGCTCATTCCAGGAGGTCCTAAATCGGTCGATATGTCTGAAGCAGTCTGGCTGCCCATCCTGCCGTGGCGAGCTCGTCTGGGGGGTGCATATCCATCACCAGTATACCCGTGAGCCGCGTCCATGCGTGCTCTTCGCTCCTGGTCTATCCTCTCCTTTCTCAGTTGTTCTGCGCGGAGATCTTCTTTGCGTTGCCTGCGGTTTTTGAACAGTTGTCGGATAGCGAACACAGTCCCTCCTGCGACCACGGCATCTCGGAATCCATGCGATCTCCGATCGCGTCGCGATGGGGATCCTGACATATATGAATCGTACGAGTACAACGACTCTGATGGTCGCCGTCCATTTGAGCCTGGTGTCATTGGGGTTTGGGCGAGAGGATGGGTCGGTCGAATGTGGCCCGGACTGACACCGGTTGGTGTCACTGGACGGATGGAGGGTGGCCTGCCTTCTTCGATTCGAGACATCGAGTCTGTCGTCACAGACTGATTGCCGCCGAGAGGTGGTCTGTAGGGGCCAGCATCCGAGTCGTCGTCACGGTCTCTGCGGCCCATCAACTTCTTGACTGCGGCAACAGCCCCTCCAATAGCTGCGACCTGTAACAGGCGGTGTCCAATACCGTGACGAGGCCGATCGGACAGCTTGTCGTCGTCGTAGTAATAAGACGATCCACTTCCAGTCACCTCGGTTCCAGATCCATGCACACGATGAGGCGAATCGTCTCTCCTCGAAGACCGTCTCCTAAACAAGGCTGCGAGACCCACACCAGCAGCTCCCGCCAGTGCCAGTTTCCCCAGCCCAGTGTGTCTGCGGTCATCCACGTCCTCAACAACGTCATGGTGACCGCTACCGCCGCCGGGTCCATAGCGACCTCTTCGTCGCTCAGCCAGATACTGCAGGATGAAGTACAAGGAAAGCATGAAAAAGCCCCATAGTGAAAAAAGAACAAACAAGTAGGCAGGCGATCCATAGAGGGTCAGGCCAAGCGGAACCTGGACGATCCCAAGTAAAGCAATAGCCCGGCCTAGCCAATGATGGAGCATGACACGGAGAGGAATGTGTGCGTGTTTCCTCCCCTTTTCTTTTCGGTGCACCATACAGCCTCCCAACACTTGGACCCAGATCAAGACGTATATTGCGACACCGATCCCATGATGGGGATTGGTCAAGCTTCTATTCGGGCCGACAGCCTGAAAGCCTAGGATGATAACCACCGTGCTCAAGAGCAGAGTGAGGATTTGCAGCCATATGTGCATTCGGAGGGCAAGTCGAGGTTGGCGGCCGTAGAATCGCATCAGGAAGATCGCGAGGGGGACAATTCCAAGGAATGTGATGGCGGCGATGATGCCGTGCGCTTCGACCAGGCTATGGTATCCAGTCAGGGAGAAGAAGCGATTTCCCATTCCTTATTTTCGACCTCGTCAGTTGACCACGTCAATGCAGAACCACGGAACATTTTCTTCTCACCATTGTATCTCATCGTCGCAAAATTTAGTCCCATAAGGTTGGGCAGGAGAAAGTTATCTCTTCCCGCATCCCACGTCCCGTCGCCCACATGCATGGTGTTTGAATCATAGGTGCTGCTCCCTGGAGGGGAGAGTTGCGGTGAGGGCGACATGGCTCGATTGCCGACCTCGTGCCTGCAATCGACAGCTGGAGTTCACTGGAGGCTTCTCCTCCGACAGTCAAGAGCTTGGGACCATCCAAGGATGAGAAAGGCGTGGGGAGATTCTTGGTTCCCGAACTGTAGAAGTTGGGTGGCTTGAGGGTTGATCGATAGCTGTCACTGATCTTCGCTTTGTTTACTGGAGCTCGGCAAGCGGGGTAGATGAGTGGCCGATGCTGCTAAGAGAAGTCGGTTCGAATATAGGGTAGGAAAGGGTGGGAGAGCTGGGACAGAAATGAGACCTTCTCGTAGGTCGATAGGGAAGTATCACAAGAGCAAAAGTCTGTCTTGCACGATGCAATTGTCTGGATGTGGCCGGATTGGGTGGTGAGTTGTCCTCTGTCTTGGATGGAGCCAGAGCGGTAGGATGGGCAACAACAACAAGCCTCCCAAGAGGCGCCCCCCCAGAAAGAACCGTTAAAGACAGCCACTAAGGTGGGCACTGGGCACCAGCGGGTCCCACTGATTTCTTCACTGTCGATTCGCCACGAGATCGCTTCCGCCCGTGGCTACCCGCACACTATCTTCACCCTGGTTCATGTCATCATGATCTTGAAGTGTCCGCCCTTGGCCATCAACCATCCTTTGCCATAAGATAACACAGGGGCACGAGGAAAAGCCAACGATTAACAAGGTCGATGCCACTGCTACCGAGGCCGCCAGATCCATCTCTGACCCGTTTCGATGTCGACGATAAATGATGCAGACGCAGGGGCTCGCTTTGTAAGAGCCGTCTCGAGGTACGAATGTTTTCTTTTATCGATTGTCATCCAGTCTCAGATAAGCTAGACGGAGATCTTGAGCACTAACCGATGTGCTTTCTTCAGGCTGCTGGGATGGGTCTAGTAAGTCCATCCAGAGACTGTAGTCGGATTTGCAAAATGCCTAGTCACTCATCCTCTCGACAGTACATTGTCCTGGAGCGCTTCATTCTATCCTCAACCGTGGCTAAACTGGAAACGTCGATCCACTGAAGGCCTCGCCATTGATTTTCCGGTTCTCAACGTGCTCGGTTTCCTATGCTACAGTGTATCAACCTGCTGTTTCCTGTATTCCCCGACGATCCGAAGACAATATGCAGTGAGGCATCCAGCATCTCCAGAGCCAACTGTTCAACCGAATGATGTTGCCTTTGGAGTACATGCCGTTATCCTCGTCATCTTGACCTACTCGCAATTTTACTCGCGATTATGGGGCTTTCGAGGGTCGGCTCATCAGCGAGTCACTCGCCCAGTGTTGGCCATCGTATGGGGAAGCCTCCTTGCTGTTGCCGGCATGGTCGTATTGATGGCTTATCGCTCAGGTCTGAGGGAGCAGGACCCAATGGATTGGGCATGGATCGATGTGGTGAGATGACTCCCAGTAGCTCTCCGTTGGTGACACGACTGACTGGTGACGGGCAACCACTGCAGCTGTACACCTTGGGGTATATCAAGCTCGTCTGCACCTTTGTTAAGTACATCCCACAAGCTTTTTTCAACTATAAGCGCCAATCGACCGAGGGCTGGAGCATATTGCAAATCTTGTTCGATCTGACGGGAGGGGTGCTGTCTGTAGCCCAGCTGACCATCGATGCGAGCTTTGGGGGTGACTGGAGTGGAATCACCGGGAATCCTCTGAAGCTCGGGCTCGCAAACATTAGCATGGGCTTCGACCTACTTTTTATCGTTCAGCACTTTGTCCTGTACCGGGAACGGGAAGAGATATGCAAGGGCTCGGACGAGGAAAATGACCCAGAACGACCGCTGCTCGGCCGTTGACCGCAGACCCCAGCCATAGCTATCTCGCGACTTCGCCAGGCAAGACCGCCCGTTGCGCAGTCAGTTCGGGTGAGCTCTCGGGAAACGACGAACACCCAGTTCGAAGGTGAACAAGTTATCTTCGAGCCAAAAAGGGTGACCGTTCCCTGTCCGGGGGCCATGCAAGTTCTGCCTCAGCCGCTCGCATGGGTTTCTTAATTTGCACTCCTTTTTGAGGTGCTTTTCGCCCGATCTGGACCAACGGAGATGCGGGCTGGGCAGATGATGCGCCGTTGATTCCTCGCTTAGCCACGCGTTTAGCGACGATTCAGCAGGACTGATGCTGGTGAACGCCCGACGGCCCGTTCACAGAGGGTCTGGGTTCTGGGAACGAAGGCAGGACTTGTTCGACTGGTCAAGTCTTGAAAAGATCAGCACTGGTGGTGCTGGTCCTTGGCGAAGTCACTTCAGCGAATTTGATGTGCCAAAACAGGCAAGCTGACCTATCACTGAGGCTCATCACACTTTCACATAGATATCACAATAGAGAGCAATAATAGACTACGTGAGAGCATGTACTCGTACACCGGTAGTCCGTACGGAGTACTGTGGACTCTGCAATGGTTTGGGATTATGTGCCTCGCCACGACTCCTTCGTGACAACCTGACCGAGTATATTAATAAGGCTTCCACGCTAGGTTTCATGTGTCTCTAACGGTCCGATCACGAGTAATCGTTTGAGTGATTGGCCTTGCGCTCTCTTACTCGCAGTCCATCACCCTCGCCGTCAGCCGGAAATATGCCATAATTCTTGCAGGTTTTTCTTTTTACTATCTTCTGATTTGTGGCCAGATTTGGAAGAGAACGTGCATGGAAAGGTGTTGGCGGGAATAGGTCTCCGACGGTGCTTTTCGACCAGACAGCTTCGCTCCCCGGGGAAGCTTGTGAGCCTAGTTAGCGCTTCCGTTGTCGGGGCTGGGGAGAGAGGCTTTTTTGTCGCTTCGATGGGGATGAGCGGGACTGCTCGAAGACCCGGAAAGGTATGGGAGGGCTACTGGTCCAACATCAAGACTTGCCGTGCAGGCTTGAGGTGATTCCTTTGGCTGTATCTAGCACCTCGTACGAGGGACTCGCAGGTCTTGCATATTTAGGGCCGGCACCCCTGTTGGCCGACAGGTTTTTAAGCGACAGGGCCCGCGAGAGAAATGAAAGAAGTTGCGGACGGGTTTCCAAGCAAAGTTCTTTTGCGGACTGCGGGGCTTGCCAGCGAAGCTAAAAAGAGTAAGACTTTCAGCTAATCAGGTGGATTGAGGCTCTGGAACTGCCCGTTGAGCTGGCAGGACCAAGCTTGTATGGGTGGATTTCTGGTCGTTGACGGGTGTGTGAGTGAAGTTGGGAAGAAATGGTGGCGAGAAGAGGAAAAAACGAGGACAGTGAAAGAGAGAGAGGGTAAAGACGGGAGAAGGTGCAGGACGCGCAGGGACACATCACTCGTCGCAACACGGTTTGGCATCTAGCATAGCCTTTGGGAAGGTGGATGTGGCTCTTGAGGCCCAATCCGTTAGGTGAGGCAAGGCAGAGACACCAATTAAAACCAGTTGCGATGGTGTTGCTGGGCTGCTGGGCCGCTGGGCTGCTGATGCCAGCGAGCGCCCTGCGTGTGCGTGTGGGAATGCCCATTGTAGGGGTTTGTGTTGCTTCTTCGTGCATGGTCTCAGCTGCAATGGGTCACCATGGTGTCTGGCTCTACGACTAAGAACAATTCCTTGGTTGGGTAGTTGGGAGGAGACTCTCTCAACCCTGACCGCGGATGCGTTTCAGGGCGCAGTCTGGCAGTCCAGATGTCTCTCTCTTCATCTTCCCCTTCTCTTCTGTGTGTCTGCCTCGCTCTCTATTGTTGCTCCACTGCTCGTCTCCCTTTCGCCCTACCGACGGCATCTGACATGCTTGTCGGACCGGGATGACGACCTCCGTTTATGCCTTTGCCGTCGCTGTTCCCTACCCAGCATGTGTACAAGTGAGAAGATATTTCCGGCCATCCGGCCTTCTCCAGTCACTTTTCTTTTCCTTCATTCGTTACTCTCTCTCATTGGCAATTCGGCCTTCACTGTGTGGGTCGCTGGGTTCGGGACTTGGGGTTTCATTCTCGCCTATCACAGTGAGGCTTCCAACCCCCCGTAACGCAGTCTGGGATCCGATTGATCTCCTACCATTAATAATTGGCAGCCAGTGTTCAAGTCGCCTAAGGAGGCTTCCTTGCGTTCAGCTTGATTCTTCCACGAGCCTCCCGTGGATCCAGTTGCGTTAGGAGGGGGCCCCCCCATTACCCATTAAATTAGCAGCCTCAATTCCAGACCCGTGCATGGCTCCCCTAATGCAACAGGCAGAAAACTAAGTCTTGATTTAGCTACACAACAACGCACTGCAACTCACCTCTTCATGTAGCCACCAAAACCTTCGAGCTCGCAACATATGTAGCGCAATACAAAGGCCAAGGATCATCCTAACGACCCTGTATTCCCGTTGATATTCCACCTTTTTTGGCCCTGTCTCCCCTTGTAACCCTTTGATCGTCCAAAGTTGGCATTGGCGAGTGGCTGTGCTGGCAACGTGCCCACGCAGCCACGCTAAGCCATCCAAGGCTCCAGCAATTCTTTTTCTGCTCTTCTTCTTCTGTTCAAGGTTGTGGGCAAGATTGGAAAGGAGAACGAGACAAGACGAGCGGGAGAGGTGAAGAGGGAAGAGGGTGACTTTGACTGCGTCTAAATCCTCCATCCCAACCTAAACCACTCCCAACTCGGCTCCGCATCATCCAACAACAGCCTCGCATCTCTCTCTCGTGCACTCTAGTTCCCAAGTCTCTTCTCTTGTCTGCGCCCTTTCTATCACTTGCCCCGTCACCACCAGCAATCCGGAGGATTCCAAACATCCCAAGAGCGTCAGATTCAACCGTGATTCTGTACCTCCCAACCCACGACCCTACAGACCCGGTGCTTTTCTCGCAGCCAATTCCTCAGAGCCTCCAAGAGCCTCATCCCGACCCTGTGTTACAAGATACCCCTCACTTCCAGCCATTTATCAACTGACCGAGTCACACCTTCACCCAACATCGAGCCATTTTTGCTTCCCGGTAAGAGCATCTTACCACCCCTCCACCCATGTTGCTTTCATCTTTGGACCAATGTATTCCCATGCCTCTTCAGCCGCTGTCTGCCCGAATACGCAAGTCACCACGCTTGTCATCCCGCCTGACCATGGTCTGGAACGTTTTTGAGTTCGTCAAAGCCCCTCCCCTTCCCCATCCCCCGCTACTCATTCCCTTGTGATAATGAGTTGGCACATCCTGCGGCCCATCGACAACGGACAATGGCACGTCCTACACGTCCCTATTACTCAATGTCATGCGCTCCGGCTGAGCGTGCCCAACCAGTAAAGTCAGAAGAATTTCACCCACTGACATGGCATATGATGCAGAGACGTCGATATTAGACAATCTTTGCCTCCATAGTCAACAATATCGCTGCCCATCCCAGGGCCGTTCCCTCATCCCTCTTGGATGGTCTGCCATGTGATTTGTCGGGTTCACTCATGTCCCACGATCAAGATTTCTTTATCGACGTCGAGCGGGATATCATCGCACCCCTCCGAAGCCCGGGACTGGAGCCAGTCAACCCGGAGTACGGGCCACGGTCCAGCCCTGCACCTCTTGTACGTGTCGACGAACTATCTTCTGATTCCTCAGAAGCGGAGGATTCGGATACGCTGGGACGGCGGCAGAAGACTATAGCACGGAAGGGTCGAGCAAACCGCACCTTTGCCGATGGCGTACTGATTCTTGCCTTAGATCCCAATCAACGTACACTTGCCAGCCAGGCACGGCGAGAGCCATTAGACTCGAGGAGTCGGTCAGAAGAGGAGGACGAGGAGGACGAGGAGGAAGATGGTGGCAGCGGCGACGAGGATGACCATGACGATGGCGACAACAATAATGCCATCCAAGATGACCCGAGACAGATGAGAGGGTCTAGGAGGGTCGTTCGGATCGGAGCAAACCCGGACTTATCAAAGCAAGGCCGACGCCGCAAACGGCCTTCGTCGTCGATCCTGTTGGCCGTGACGACATTGACGACGACGACGACTTTCCTATGATTGACAGTCCAGCCAGGGTGGCTGAAGAGCATCCGGTACAGTCGCCTCCAGTGCCTCCACAAGCCATCCACAATCCCGAAAGGGAGGCTTCAGCTTCCAATGCCGCGTCGAATCAAGCAGATCTACTGCGAAAGCAGTTCAACACAATCCCACCCCCGAGGACTCGACCACTGTTTCCGAATTTGCGGCTGAATCTTGTTCCGAGCGTTCGCGACGGTGATCAAGATGACGACTCGATACTGAAGTCACCTATTCTCGGCAAGTATGCAATATCGCCCCGGGATGCCCATCCGGATTTCACCTTGCCAGCCATGCAACAGAGGTCCCCTCCACGTTCCTCACCCGCTGGTATACCGGATTATAGGACAACGCTCCCGTCGCTGAAGATCGCCATTGGCGATTTCCCTGAACCAAGCCCAGGGGCATTTGCCTGCCCGTCTCCAGGAATAGGTCGAGCTCTATCCGGCCAGTTTGTTTCCTACGCGTCCCCTGCTTCGTACTCTGCGTATTCTGCCATGTCCCCTCCGGATCCTCCGTCTCATACCAACTGGCGTACAGCGACTGGAAATTCCAATACGTCAACCTTTTCAGATTATACTTCGTCGACTTCCATCTCCGCCTCAACCCCAGCCTCGTCTATCATCACGCCATCCCCGGCAGCCTCAGGCTCTTCGTCGTTGGTCGTTCTCCCTGACAAAACTAATGAGTATCAAGAAGAGCACAGCGGGACGTGGCAAGTCTCCACCATGGAGATCGATCCGACATCTCCAGGTGAGGTTCGATTTGTACCTCAGCCTCAGCCTCAGCATGAAGTGGATTCGAAACCTCAACCTCACCCTGCAGCACAATTGAAGGTCCAATATCAACGCACTACCCGACCGCAATCTCATTCCAAATCTGCAGCTCGAGCCCGACCCCAGGTCCAACTTCAGCCTCCTGCTGCGCCTGAACCACGACCACAACGCCGATCTCAACCCGAATCTCAAACTGAAGCTGAATCCCAGGCTGGGTCCGTGACGGAATCCGAGCTCTCGGAGCTCTCTGATCTTGAATCCGAACCTGATTCAGAGCCCGAGCCTGCACCCAGACGGCAATCTAGATTGCAGCCTAAGCGTACATCCGTGTCTCAACCGATGACCCAACCCGAGGTTGGGCCCAATGCCGTTGCAATAGCTCGCTTTTCACTTGGCCCTTTTAAATGCACTTACGAGGGATGCAATGCCGCACCATTTCAGACCCAGTACTTGTTAAACAGCCATATGAATGTTCATTCTGACACCCGGACTCATTTCTGTCCTGTCAAAGATTGTCCTCGAGGGTACGGTGGCTTGGGCTTCAAGAGGAAGAACGAGATGATCAGGTGAGACGATTCCCGTCCGAGAATGGATTCTTGTTCTCTTGCTGATTACTTCCGTTTCTACCAGACATGGCTTAGTTCACACATCTCCCGGATATATATGTCCTTTTTGCCCCGACCAGCAACACAGGTATCCTCGGCCCGACAACCTACAGCGTCACGTACGACAACATCATTCGGAGGAAGACCGTCACGACCCAAGACTCCGTGAAGTCCTTAACCAGCGCATCGATGGAAACAATAAGGCCGGGAAAAGGCGCATGCGCTTGTTCTGATCGCTGCAAACAAGTGTTTCGGATGCTTCGAGTTTGAAGAGATGCAGACCCACACTTGGATGCTCTGAGCTCGTCACGAAGGAGTTTCTGCAACAGAAACTGCTAATGAGGCTTGGAAACTTGCTAGACCGGATCATTTGCGTTGGATTCTTGTACAGCACATTCTCATCGACTTTCATGACACCAGCTTTTGTACTTCTTTGTGCTTCTAACGACCAACAGCAGCAACATGACAAGAAGATTTCTATCTCGAAGGAACCGGTTTCTCATCGCGAATGCACACGATTAACTTAGAGGTCGAACGTTTGGACCATTGACCCGAGCTTTTGCTGCTCCTGGACAGTTCCTGTTACTGTCTGCCACCTCTCGGCACCCATCGCCTGTGAGTGGAGGGAAAAGAGTGGTCTGACGGTCATGACCCAAATGCTGGGAGACGAGGCGCAAATTTATCGTTGATGAATAAGATTCGAGTTGCACGATGGATTTCGTCGGTACATTATTTACGATGTTATGACTTTGATGACCATAGCCATGCCCTGTTACGTGTCATGCTTTTTGGGAGAGCTGCAGACAACCTGGAATGTCTGCGTAGCTCTAGGACCGAAATGTTGGAGGCGAACGGAGTTGATGGGATACAACTTGACAAGTCACAAGGAAAGAGACACGATGGCGAGGAGAGAAAAGAGAAATGGGGAAATAGGGAGTTGTGGGAATCATTTTGGGACAAACTCGAGCTGTTGGCTCGAAATACGTTTTCTCTTCTCGTCTTCTTGCCTCAGGGGAGGAAAGGGTTGCATTCAGACGCACGTGCGCACATGGAAATCGAAAGGCCAAAGAGTCAGCCCTCCAGGAGCATGACCGCTCAGCAGCTCATCAGCCACTTGCCCCTCCGCCCATCATCCCATCGGCCCATCGGCACACCTACCCGTCAATGCAAGCCCAAGTAACCGCGACCACACTCAAGGATCACCTGCAGAGGACATAGGTACGCAAATGGGAATGAGGAGGGCCGACACGAGAAGAGGAAGAGGCGAGAGACGAGAGACGAGACGGAGAGAGTACCTCCCACGCTACCTAAGCAAATCATTAACGGCGGCAGCCTCCAAACCAGCAAGAGCTTCGAGTTCGAGTACGAGTACAAATACAAGTACAAGTACGTACGACGTATTACATACCTACCTACTAGGTACCTAATGTATGTAATGTACATGCATGCCACACATGCTTGGATTTCTTTTACTACCCATATCATATCCATAACCATACCTATTCTAGACTCATACCGAGTACACACCACTCGACGACCAGACCAGGCTGCGTCGCTCCACGCCAATATCTGTTATAGATACGATCAAGACACATGTTCGAATATTTTTTTCCCCTTGTGCATACTTACATACGTACACGGTACATATACAACCTACATACCTAGGTCCGGTATACACAGTATATACAGGATGTAGATACCAGGCAGGGTGGGTGGTAACATACATACATACATACATACTCGGTACACTCAGTCACTCCCTACAGTACAGTACAGCCAGTATATTTAGTGGAAGCACCACCAAACAAGAAAATGGCCCCATGCCTCTTTCAAGAATTGAAACAGATCACTAACAGGCTCTTGGACAGTATCCTCCTTCTGCTGTGCTGCTGTGCGGGGAACAAACATTCGGTAGAAGTACAAGGCTCTCGTTCCCGCGACTGAAACCGGTGACAGGCGTAGAGAACCAAGCGACGAGGGACTCTGGCTGAGCGCTCTGAACGTCATCTTATATAGGTTGAATTGATCAAGCCGCCTTTATAGTGTCGAGAGGAAAACAATAGTCACAGCAAAGTTTTGCAGGACCAAGACGCACCAGCGGTAGTGTCCCTGTTCAGCGACCGAAAGCGAATCCACTCCGCCACCTTTTGCTGATGATCGAAGTCTTCAAAAAGCCCATGTCATTATTTTCGGAATTGTCCATGATGGTCTGTTCCCCTTTGTTTCAGCAGGTGCAAGAGCTACCACTGCAACCGACGTTGCGAGCCCCATATTTGTCGCAGAATCGCAGCGAAAGAGGCAATTGGTGAGTGAGAATTGTATCGGCCTGGCAGTGGAATGTACTCTTGCTCCGGAGAAACCGACAGATGCACGTATGACCACTGCAACACCAACAATCTGACCCGTCTTGTTCGACTAGGTACCCACGATGCCGGATATTTTGTCCCGTATCCTCTCGGCAAGAGTAGTCCCCGATTCCTGTCCTTTGCCCTCAAGCAAGCCGTCGATCTCCTTTATTGTGGACGGCTCCGTAAGACCCCATAGCTTCCAAGGGCCTTCTTCACCCATGGCAGTCATCTTTTGTATCACCACGTAATCAACGTGCTTTAGCACGGTATCCTTGTCACTGTCGGCGAGCCGATAGTTCTGAATGCTGCTGATGCGCACGATGCACTGTCGGAGAAATGTATCTGGGAATGGCAAAGGGGCGAGCCGATCCGAGACAACCCTGGTGCTTGCCCGGGGCAGAAATACCGCAAGTGGCCACCTCTCAAGCCAAACAGGATATCGAATGCCCGAGTAACTCAAGAGCGACCAAGGTTCTTTCGAGCGGCCCATGGCCTTCCGTTGTTCAATTCGCATTCTTGCCTGCGCCATCAGACCCTCGCAGCAAATGACCTGTAGCCTTTTCATGTCTCCCTCCCCCAAAGCCTCATGAAATTCCCTGTGCAGGCCCCGCGCAATTTGATTTCTCTGGGAAAGTTCCAATGGCTTTCTCAGCTTTTTCCCCGTGAGAGGGTCCCGTTTGACATCCCATTTGAGGAAAACCACCAAACTATGAAGCAAGTCAGCCATGACGCAGATTGCAGAATCGAGTCACATCATTACCTCCACCAATCTTTGACAGCAGTCTTGAATTGTAGCCAATGTATCCTCGTTCTCTTGATGAAAGCTGGGCTCATCCAACCCGGCAGGTCCCTGGTGGCAGGTAGGATGAAGGTCTGGGGTAGTTTTCCCAAATCAGTGCCTATCTGTTGCCTGTTGGCTTTTTTCATCTGACTTTTCATCGACACGTGTTTCGGGAGCTTTGAGTCTATGTTGGGGATGCTATGGGCGACTCCGGCGGCTGCATTTCTGCGTCGAGTGGTCGTGAACTGACGGGTGTAGACTGAAGGTGAACGGTGCGCGCATTGAGGGCAGATCTGGAGGGTTCGACCTGAGGGAGTTAGGGGTAACGATAACTTGAGACCCTTGCTCGAGGCTCTGGCAACAGGATGTGCCATCTTGACCAGGCTCACAGAAAAGATGACTTCGCCTGTTGACGAGCGTCCTTTGCAAGGCCAACAGAGCTCTAGGAAAAGAAAAGAGAGCGGGAGCGCAGTCAGTGTCCGAATGAAGACAAGTAGGACGCCGTCCTATACTTCACCGAGCACCCGCATCTATATTTTTAAAAGCGGCGCTTCTGCTAAGCCGAAAGCCTCGATTCAGCCCACGTGATTTCGCCAGACCTGCTGCTTAAGGCGAGCTCAACCTGTTGGCCGAGTCTCGCTCTCGAAGCTGAGATTCATTTTGTATATGTACACTTGCCTGAAAGGACATTTTGACCTCACCAGACTCCAGCCATGTCTGCTAAAAAGGATATGCGAAGGGCGGACCTTGGTCAGTATCTCGAATCTCTCGAATCGGTCGCATTGAAGAGTGCGCACTCTGACGAATGTCGCTCGCTCAGTCATTCCCTACGTCGAGCCCAAAGATGAGAAGCCCACCGATTTCAGCTCGACTATAACGAGCACCATGCCTATGGCAGCTGTGAGTGGATTGTGCTACTTTTTGTGCTTCCGAATGCTAACGACGAAAGTAGATGTTTACAAGAAATAGGTAAGGGACAGCACCTCTGATACGCATTGTTTATTGCTGATAATGACAATCAGGATGCTTGGCTGGTAAGAGGGATGAACACATGACCGTGGTTTGGACTTGACAGGATCAGGTTTTCTCTATTAACAGCACTCTTGAATTGGTTGGGAGAGACACCAGCCCAGAGACAGAGTCCTAACGGGACGCCCGCATATATGTCCTTTGGCATGGCTGGTGAGTCCAGAACAGTCTTTGCATTCATGGATCTGAGGCTAATGGATCTGAAAGTGCTTGCTGTTGGTGTGGTATGTTGTGTTACTGTTCAAACTTCAGCACTGAGCACCGACTCATACGTTCCAGACATATATGCCCCTGTTTCTACCGCCACCGCCAAACGCAAGAGGACCACCAGCGCCAGCACCCGCCGCTTCAACATAGCGATTGGTCCAAGCAGCATTGGGGGTTTCCACGGGAAGAACGGCCGAGAAATCCTGTATAGATCAATTGGTGGCTTTTGCGACAAGCGTGGCAATGTATGGAAACATTCCCTACACGATTTGTGCTCTGGAGTTTGAGGGCAGCGTGCAATGGCGGCTATGGAATAAAATATTGCAAACGCGAAGCCGGTCAAGTCCAGATCTTGGTCGTGGAAATCAAGTAATTGAATGGGATCAGTTTCTCGATATCGTCACATGCCGTCACCTCTGGTTTCCGGGGATGAGCCTCATGCAGAAAACAAGTCCCCAATCATGGTGCGTGGGACCTAGAAGTTGGAACCTAGAGCCCGCCAATGATTTTTGCCACAGGTTTAGGGAGCGGCCACAACCAGCGTTGCTCCCAGGCCTTGGCGCCCGTAACGCACAGGTGCGGCTTAGGGGAGGGAAGGGCATTGTGTGTCAAAGAGAATGGGGGCAGTGATTCTTTCGGGTTCCTTTCCTCCCTTGCCCAACCAGCCAACCCCACCAAATGGCCTGCACCCAACCAGTCACTGCTGCCTCTTGTGGTTCGCCTCTTGCATCAGCCCTTTTCCTGCCCCCGTTCCCTTTTCTCTCTCCTTCTCAAACAAAACCAACAATCCATCACCACACTCTCCACTCAACAACAACTCTTTCGCTTGCACTCCGGACATTCAATAGTCCTTAACTTCTCATCACCGACACTTTTCTTTCCAATCCAGCCCGTTCCTCGAGACAAACGAGTTTATGTCAACTATCCAAAACCTCAAAACCTTTGGTAAGCCGACCCCTCTTCTCACCCCCTCTCGCCACCTCGCAGCCGACGCTCATCGCCCAAACAACTCGCCTCTATCGTGTGCCTCGACAGCGCCAGATTTTGGGAGTGACTGTTTGAGAGCATGGTTGAAACCCGCTGTCGACTACCACGACCCTTGTGTACAGCAGCAATTGTTTAGAGACCTGTTGCGTGACTCATGGCTCACTAATTTATGTCACAGACCCCTTCGCGGAGGCCGACGACGACACTGGGGAAGCGAAGCAATCCCAGAATTACATCCACATTCGTATCCAGCAGCGCAATGGTCGTAAGACTCTGACCACCGTCCAAGGCCTTCCGAAGAAATTCGACCAGAAGAAGATCCTCAAGGTCATCAAGAAGAAATTCGGTATGTGAAAGAGATAAGGGACTACAAAGGACTATGGCTGACAATGACCCCAGCCTGCAATGGCACAATCGTCACGGACAGCGAGATGGGCGAGGTGATCCAGCTCCAGGGTGACCAGCGCAAAGATGTTCAAGAATTCTTGGTCGCCAAGGACGGCCTCGAGCTCGATGCAAAGACTATCAAGGTAAGGATATCCTTCTGCGCCGTACGCAACGACGCCTGACTAATACTCATCCAGGTCCATGGTTTCTAAACGCCTCAGCCGGTATCCTGTGCTATCATGCTCGGCCTCGAGGACAGATAGAAGTTGTCGATGGAGCTCCAAATCAATCTTCGTTTGAACGATGTCTTCTGGCCTGTTCGTCTTCGCTGGTCGATACAGTGGCATGGTCACGATAGCACCTTTGGGATGCGACAAGGTTACGCGTTTGATGATACCCACGATGGATATTTTGCCTTGGCAGGGAATGGGGGTGGGATCGGACTGTTGCGGCATGGGATAGGAAGCAGCAATACATGGCTATGAAGAAGACACTCACGGCATTCGGCTGGGCAAACATGAGATGGCAGGGTTGGGCTGGTGTCTATCATTGATCCCACCAGACCATGCACGGTAGCTTTGAAATCATTATCGGAGTGTTGGAAACAACGCGTTTCACTTTGGCTGTCTCAATCATTCCATTGTTTTGTTGGAGTTCCCGTTCTACACGACGGGGCTATTCTGGAGTTCAGTCGAGACGCCATCAACGCCCTCTCTGGCTCAACCACTGCGTACATGTACTAACCACTTTGTACCGTGGGTTGAGATCAAGGTACCAGCTGGGGGCTGCTGGACTGGATCTGCCGCCAAGAATCTGGGGTAATTTAAAGCGAGCGGCGAGCGGCCTGTGACTCTTGTGTGGTTTCAGGTGCTGTTCTTATCGTATCTACAAGGACAACTTACAGTCCTATAACTACTGGTCACGCGCCTCTTCCCCCTTACGCCGTTTCCCACCTTTATCTTCACCCTTGTTGACGAATGGCTGTTTCCTCGCCCTGACACGACTTCGGAGTCCTCCTTCACGTTTCTGAAACAGGGAGTTTGAGCTTTGCCTTGGAATTCGAAAGAGATTTACTGTTTTGACTTGGGCTGCAAGGGCGGGACGACCTCACAACACCCTGACCAGGGGCTATGCAGCCGCCATAGCGCTGCAAACCCATTTTCCAACTGGCGAACTCGGGCTATCAGGGCCCACCATCATATGGCGATGCTTTTGTTCCACGCAACGGGAGCCTCCGTTATGCTGCTACTGATCCTACCAATCCGTCCCGCTCTCCTCCGACTGCCCAGCCTGGCCCCGCGCCTGGCGGCGTCGTCGTCGAGAATGCCAACATCGCCAGTGTCGCCATGTCAGCTCGATATCCCCGGGTAGCCGTCCTCCTGGGCGTCCAGCCTCGCTGGCACGTGCCGCTGCTGCTCTGTCGGGCCCTCTCGACCGTGTCGGCCGCGTGGTGGGCTTGCCAGACCTGTTTCAGCATCTATCGACTCATCTCGGTCTACGGCACGACGGGAGCGACAGCGGCGTCCTCCACCTCCTTGTTGTCAGCAGGTGGCAGTGGTGGGACGAGTGTCGGTGGTGGCGGTAGTGCTGGACCTGGACCTGGTGGTTCGCTTTTGGAGAATCGGATCTTCAGGCGCATGGCTGTGGCACAAGTATGCTTGAGCTTTCTCTGGGTATGTCTTGTTCTACCGTCCCTCGTTTCTCTTTTGCGGCGCATCTGAAGTTCTATACCCGTCCATTTTCATCCCGTTTTGCAATGCCCGGGGATGCAGCTTGCAACGACGGTCCACTTTGGAATGCCATACCCTCGGCTCAGCCTCGTCTTCTCTCGTGGAGGCAGCGAAACTCTCTCTCTCTCTCTCCTGCCTCCCCATGTTTCCTTATCTACACAAACCCAAACCAGGCCAGTTCATCGCTAACATGGCCTCTCTTCCCTTTTTGCGACGTCTCCAGGCCGGCGCTGCAGCGTACCTCGCACACATGTTCGCGTCGTCACTGATGTCGCGGTGGCTGCTGCACTACAGCCCCCTGGCGGTGCTGGTGCGGCTGTGCAGCCTTTCGATATTGCTGTCGTTCGGGTGCCTACAGATCTTCCGGGCCACGCAGGCCACGGAGCCGGACCTGCTCCAGCTCAGCCGCAGCCTGCTCGCGTGGATCGCCATCTCGATCGGCCTGATGCTCGCCTACTTCTGCACGCAGCAGGACATATTCTCGGCCGACCACGACGACCGCGACGACCGCCGCCGCCGCCAGATCCTCCGCCTCAAGTGCCTCTACGTCATCTCCGCCTGCAGCCTCTTCAGCCTGCTGGTCCTCGTCGGCATCGTCCAGCTGGACCACGACACCGGAATGTCCCTGAAAGGGATGATTGCCGCCGCTATCGGGAGCGCGAGCGAGGGAGGGGATGGCAGTGCCGGCCGGGGCTGGGGCCTCGCGAGGCCTCTACACGATTGGCTCGTGACTTGCAAGGCGTTGGCGTCTGATCTGTCACAACAATGGCGCAGGTTCGCTTCCGGCGCCGCTAGATTTGGAGCCGAATTGTGACCCCAAGAAGAAGGATGAAAGGACAGCGAAGAACAGCGCAGCGAATCGAAGCGAGTCCCAATTTCACGTTTAGGTTTTTTTATTTTGTTTTTGTAACTCTGTGGTTTTTTTCTTTTTTTTGGTTCAATTGATTCCACTAGAGATGATGTATTAGAGGTATTGAGGTATTGAGGCATTAGAGGGTATTGCGACCATGCGATTGATATACTGAATACTGAATACGGACATGGATACGGGTACGGGTACGGGTACGGGTACGCATGGATGGCTTATGCGTTTAATCAGGAAGCAGGGGCCTTCTTTTCTCTATTTCTCTCTCCTCCCCTAAGCGTGAGCATGAGCATGAGCACGAGTGTGAGCAGTGCTTCTGGGCTTTGAGTAATTGTTGCGTGGCGAGGCGAGGCGAGGAATGGAGTTGAGCCGAGTCGAAGGAAGAGCGGCGAGCGAGAGAGAGGGAGACAGAGAGATAAATGTCTAATGAACTATTTTCTGTCTTTGGGACGACAAACACACAGGACCTAATAAAGGTGATCCTACGTTCCAGATGATACCTTTGCTCGCTCGCTTTTTGGTTTTGATAGAGAGTGAGATGCTGTAATCGTCGACGACGTCTCAAATGACTCTTATATGTGTAGAATCTTCTCCCCTTCTCTTCTCATGTCCTCATCCCTCCGCAACAGGTCTGTTTCTCTTTCGCTGTACTCTCGCCTATCTCCTCTGGGTCTCTTTCTGTCTCTCACTCCCTCGCCCATCTCGTCAGACCGTTCTCCACGGGATCGTTTTCGGGCCATTTGATCGCCCGCAATGTATAGCACTGAGGACCGTAATATGGTCCTCGTGTCACCGCTGCCGTCTCTTTATATCTCCATGTGTATATATCTGAGTGTCTAACTCTTGTAGATCTCTCCATCATTTATCTCATGTGGTGAACCTTCCCCCTTTTTGATTCTAGTCTTTTCTTGTTGTTCTTCCAGGAGGCGAGAGAGGGCTGCTGCTGTACATCTCCAGCCATTCTCCTCCTCTCATCTGTTCAGGGAATTGCGACTTCGTCTCGTCATGCCCACGTCGGGGCGGGCTGTCTCGCCGTGACTTCCGGTGCGCCTCGTTGCGATACTCGCAGTCTCTGGCGATGATCTCTTGTTGGCCAGAACGCTCTGTAATTCGTGGCTCTCGCCTCGCTCCAGCGAATCGTCCACGACGGCGACTTCGTCGGACTCGTCTGGAGGCGATGTTCCTCCGGCGCGTGATGGTGTGCTCTCTCCACTCTCGCCGTACGCGCCGCCCACGCTTTCCATGACAAAGGTGCCAGCAGTGGGTGCGTCCAGGGCCCGGAGTTCTTCGTCCCGGAACCACTTGGGCATCAGCCACGTGCGGAACGGGATCAGGAGGAGGATGATGATGGGAAATCCAATGGCGGCGATGGTCTGGGAGATGGCAAAGGTGGCGCCGAATCCGACCAATTCACACGCCACAAAGACCCAGATGGCGGCGCGACGCTCGATTCGTGCCAGCGGGTCCGTCGCGTCTGTCAACTCTTTGTCCCGCGCCAGGAAAAGCAACTTCTGAGTAATACCATTGCCCTCGAGAGCTTGGACTCCCATGACGAAGAACAGCCCGGCAAGCACACCCTGTGGGATCAGATGTAGCACGACCAGTAGCGGCCCGCTCATCGTGACCAGGAACAAGAGACCCTGCGCAAGGTTGCTGAAGCGCTGCTCAACGACATGATCCGTGACCCGGACGATATGACCCCTCGCCTTCTCGTCGACAACCTGCCTTGTGACGCAAAGAGCGTTAGTATGGAATGGTGCCTGAGGGATGAGGCCGTTTGGGAAAGGGATGCCGAGAATTCCCGCGATGCCGGTGGTGAGACCGAGGAGGAAGATATCCCAATGGAACCCCGGCGGTTTGCGCAGCGGGAATTCTGTCCCTTGTGCAATGAGAGACGACACTAAGGACATTGGTCAGATGAATACCGTTCCAGAGTCAGCTGCGTGGCACATACCGTTGTGATCAAACCAAAACAGGACTGTCAAAAGGATCGCGAAAGGGATTGCCAGGAAGACTTCTCCTACACTGATATCCCAAAAGTGAACGAACCAGCCACGGTCAGCAGTCGGGTGGAACGATTTGCTCGTCGGCAGGGTTTCGAGATGTACATTCCTCATATGGCCGATATGGACGAATCCGGTGAAGAAGACAATTGTCAGCGGAGTGCCGTAGTCCTCGATGAATTTCCGCACATGTCGTTGCAACAGGTTGCTGTTGCCGAGCACACCGCAACCATATGCAAACCCAAGGACCAGCAGACTGACCATGACAGACAGATAGGCACTGGTTTCGCCAGCCAATCCCCACTGTCTGGTGAGGACTTGGATCCCCTTTTGCAGATAGATAAAGGCAACGTAGAACCCAAAGGTGTCACAACTGAAGCGCGTAACGTAGGTCAAGGCGTTGCAACTGTTGGTGATGGCCAGGAGCCAATGCATGAGCAGAGACCAGATGCCGATCCAGGCCATGAAGGCAAAGAAATTGGTGCCATGGGGGACGATGATGTCGTACACCGTATACGAAAAGACGGTGATGGGACCAGTAACGCCTACAATGACAAGAGGCTGCGCGGCGAAAAGAGAAAAGACCACACACGCCATGACCGAGGAGAAAAGGACTTCATTGACGCCGTATGAGTTGTGGGTCTTGGTGAACATGTCGAGGGAGAATGCCAATGCTGGTAAGATGCTGGGATAGCAGTCAGCGGCTGTACATCATAGCAGCATAGAAGTCCATGGGCATTAGCGAAGAGGGAGGACATCAAGGACATAAGGTGTATAAAGTTGGTGCATCCGGTAGATTGTATATGGATTTAGCATACTTTGCAAAGTACATGTACACGGTGGCGGGGATGACTCTATAATCCCAAGCATCCCTCCAATCACTCCAGTAGTACGGTGCCCGTCTCTTGAGGTCGTCAACTATGCCCTTGAACCAACGTATCTTGTACCATTTCGGGGTGCGCCGGTGCGATGACCGAGTGGTCTGTCGCGAAATGTGTTCCGAGAGGCGTTGAATCTCTTCAGGATCAGGACGGGAGTTAGTCGAGTGGAAGGACGGTCGATGATTATGCTGCCATGGCTTTTTCTGAATCGAGTGAGAGGAGGACTGGCGGCGCACGAGGGCAGGAGTCGTGCGCGAGGCCGAGGGTGTGATGACTTCGGTATGAGTCGCCATACTGTCGTCGCACGGTCTACGGACCTATCGTATGGGTGAGATCTGATGAGAGCGTTGTGTGAGCGTCACCCTGCGAGGATGACCTGTGTTGTATGCCGATGAAAAGAATACCCAACGTAAGACACGGGTACAACAGCACGAAGGACGCAAGATAAAAGAAAGACCTAACAAGCGCTCAGCCCATTCCTCGAGCAGGAGACAAGGTCGACCTTGTCAATATCATGGAGCTGTTGAAGCATGCGGTGACGCAGGACGAAAAGGGAAGAAAGGAAGGACGAAAGCGGTAGAGAGGCGACGACGATAATGACGGCAAAGATTGTCATGCTGATCACCGCCTTCTTTGCTTTGGCGCGAGTGGGCGCAGGGAAGGTTTCCTTAGCTGCGCAGTGAACCCCGCATTTTCCACCTCACACATATCCTTCAGTCCCAATGTCAACCTGTGCCTCCGTTCCCAAGTTTCTCTAGCCATACATAACCATGCAGCCAGACGCCAGTCTCATCCAGTTTTCCATATCTTACAGGATTCGTCGACTTCACGGCGATTGCTGCTCGGCAGAGTGTCGGCGCGCAGTTGAGTGACCATCATGTCTTGAACCACACAACTAGTGGAAACCATATAGTCCCAACTCCCTTATCCTATCCCAGCCGGGAACGTTGAGAGATATGTGAGCTGATGATCACCACAGCCGCCAAAACGAGCAGACCAGAGACGATCGATGGTGTCCTACTTTGATTAACAACCCTCCACAGTTCCTATCAAGAGCAGACTCACCGTGACACCTCCAGAGAACTTTTCACCATCTGCTCGCCTTCTTGGGCAGCCTCTTGTGACCAGCCATCATTTGTCGACGGTGAATACTCGGCTATGATCTTGTCGATCTCGTCCACAACCTCGGCGGCACTGCTGTATTGGAAGGACCAGCACTTCCGCATGACAGGTCCCAATATCAGGTTGTCCGTATCGGGAAACTCGCCGGCATCATACCGCGCTTTAATCTCCTTGTCCGTCTTGTCGTGGTAGGGCCGCCACGTTGTCGACATCTCGAAGATGGCACAGCCCAGAGCAAACAGTTCCGTGTGTATGCTTGGCTTAGTGCCTTTTTTAAAAAACAAGTGATACCCCTCACACCCCCCAGGAAGTACGGTAGAGTCCCCTTCGTCTATTGAAGAGCCAGCAAAATCACATAGTTTGACGTTGTCTTGGTTGTCGATCAGAATATTGTGAGTTCCAATGTCAACCTGGAAGACGTTCTTCCCATGTATATATTGTATCCCCTCGCTGACCTGCCTGGACCATTTCAGAATTTGTCCTTTGGTCGGGAGTTCATTTCTCTGCCGTAGTTCAATAAGGCGCTGACGCAGGCAGCATTCGAGCCTTTCGAGGATGATTCCTTTGTGGTGCATGGAAATGCACTTGACGATAGAAGGGTGATGACCGAGGCGCCCGTATATCTCCCGCTCAATGATTTCGTCAAGCTTCCTTTCTTCACCACCAATGAAGTTTTTGAGGACGGTTTTGTCGTCCAAGCCGATCACTGCGCCGGAGACGCCATAGGAAATGAGAGGAAGATTCCCAGTGTAACCCTCAAGTTTATCTGCCCACTCGGCCATTTTCAGTCAAACGAATACGCGGGTTGTATACAAGCAGAGGAGAAAGCAGGAGACCGTTGTCTGAAGAGTAGTATCAGAAGCTCACACCCCTTGTGACAAGCTGGGCGAGTGTGGTAGAAACGGGGACAAAGACATGTCACTCGAATGGACGAATCATATGAGGTATTTGGCTAGTTGGACTCTTGGCTTCTTGGCATTGCGGGTTTCAACCAATCAACATTACTATGTGTTCAGGAGTCGAACTTGAGCTCTTTGACCTTCGACCTCATCCTTCATGTCTTTTGGGTAACATTCTTCTCTGATTGAGCGCCTGGCCAATGCCCAGATATGCTCACGACTTTGAGGTCATGTCATCGCTACCTCCCTTTCTCCATTTCCGTGCTGGCTGCAGTTTCGGTTCGAGGACGACGCAGACTAACGATGACTTTCACACTATCAGCACGTATCAACCCACTGTGCGGGGACCTATTTACCGAGAAAGCCACAGCCTCCTTCTAGCTTGAAGTTCAAGCAGCAGTAACTTCCATCTAAAAAGAACTTCAGCATCAGCAACTCTAGTCTCAAACATGCAAGATAAAACTTACAACTTTCAAAAGCTTGCCATCAGTGCACGCTAAACAACTTCCCGGTACGCGTGTCGATCCCAAAATAGCATCCTGGACAGGGGTGCAGTGATCTGGGGGGCAATAACGGAAGGTTCCATTTGGTCTGGGTTGTGCGCAGAGCCTGATGCGTCTGAATGCCACTACATGCTGTGGATCCTGGGAACACTCCTTGTAGATAACGTGCATATCAAGATATGTGCACATTGTCTTGTTAGGGCTCTTGCTTGGAGTCGCCGAGGTACACGAAAGGGATGCTGTGTAAAATGGTGATGGCGTCAATGTCTGATATTCAGTGGAAGCGATACAAGTGAAGGCGTGGTTCATCTTCGACGAAGCTCATCTTCTGGAGGCGGTGTTGAGGGTTGAGTACAATTTGCTCAGAGCAATTGCTGCCTAACCCGTCCGTGTAACACTGAGTATGTCACGGGACACGCTGCAGCATTGAATTGACATCTGTCACTTTGACGTCTGTCACCGTTCTCTCCTCTCCTCACTGGACCATTCATCGACCCCAAACGCCGAGGGTGCGGTCAATGGAAGACTTGACCGACTCGTTCGCCTCACCGCCGAGCTCTTCGGACGCTTTCACCTCGCAACAAATCAGTCTTGGTCCTTTCGAAGTAAATCTGTACAGTAGGCACGGTCAGATTGTCTATTTGGCAGAGGCATTCGTTCTGCGCTCCGTCTCCTATCACACGACCGGATCCGTCCTCAAAGTCTTCTGCGCACACACCACGGCCACAAACACATTGGTCGGAAAGATCAAGGAGGAAACGGACGGAAGAAAAGATGGCTTAAAAGGCACAGGAGTCTGGAGAAACCGCATTTGCGCAGCTCAAGGAGATAGTCCGCGAAACATTAAGTGTTCAACCTCAGTCTGAATAGGCCAGAGGGCTGCAGATGAGATAACGAGCCACTTGTGGTTGGCCGTCTACAGCGTCTGTTGTGCCAGACTGGGCGGTTCAGTCTCCTTTGTCGACACTCGAAGCTCATTAGAAGTCGGACTTCCCTTTGTCCAGTCTTGAGTCGGATCAAATAATCTCGTTGTCAGTTGAAGGGCATGGTGGTCGTCTGCTCGAGATTTCCACACAAGGCAAGCTCAGGACCCTCAATATTCTTCTCCCGAAAAGAACATCGTTGTGAGGGACTGTTTAGCAGGTGGGAAACAACTGCGAGGTATCCAAAACCTTGAGACTCGATTGAAACAAGGGTATCGCACAACATTCCTGGGTCAGGCACTGACGCACCGGGGACAAGACCGGATTGGAAATCCATGTCCACGTGGGAGATATTCTTGGTAATAGCCGGTGGAACACTTCAAGAGAGCAGAGGATAGAGACAGCAGGAAAGGGAGGGGGAAACAAGTGACGAAATGATTCACTAATCATCCGAGGCTGTGGTTTCATTGTGGGGTCACAGGCTTTGTCAAGCGTGAAGCGTATACGATGGTATCTCCAATACATGTACTCGATAAGGGGAGGTGAGGCTAAGGCGATGGGGTCATGATGTTATTATTGGAGGAAAGGCCAAGCGACTGACTATTAGGGGAGGGAGTGTATATCGACATACATACATACATATACCTCACTACCAACCTCCCTACGAACTTAGGTAGTCAACACCTTAACACCAGCCCAACACTCTAACACCCCCTTATCCCTTTATCACTCTCCCCTCCTCCCTCTTCTCCTTCTACAACCACTACAGAACCAGAACTCCCCCCTCTTCCAAACCATGTCCACCCCCGCCTCCGGCTCCGCCCCAACCGGGCCAAACATCACGCTGTACACGGACTCGACGCCCAACGGGATCAAAATCTCCATCGCGCTCGAAGAGCTCGGCCTTCCCTACCGGACCGAACACATCGACATCTCGACGAACCGGCAAAAGGAGCCGTGGTTCCTCGAAATCAACCCCAACGGGCGCATCCCCGCGCTGACGGACACGTTTCGCCGCGACGGCCAGCGCATCCGGCTGTTCGAGGCCGGCGGGATCCTGCAGTACCTCGTGGACGAGTACGACGCTGAGGCGCACAAGATCAGTTTCCCCCGCGGGACGCGCGAGTACTACGAGATGGTGAATTGGACGTTTTGGCAGAATGCGGGGTTGGGCCCGATGCAGGGCCAGGCGAATCATTTCGTGAGGTGAGTTTTTTTTTTTTCCACTTTCATCCATTCATGCCCATGTCCATTCTACATATACATATCGATGTGTATGTATATATACATCTTTGCCTTGTCAGGAGGGGGTTTGTCAGTTTGCCATTGTCATGTTTGACTCGCGCTCCACTCCAGAAATACAAAGAGGAGGGGGAGGGCAGAGAAAGAAACCGAAGCGGTCCATGATGGGCGGGCCATATTCAGAAAAGAGTGCCCCCATTTGAAAGCCCTTCCCCGTCGCGCTTTACAGGGTAGTTCTTTTTGTAGAGGACGAGAGGACGAGAGGATCACGACGAATTCTCCAATCCTCCCCCACACACACTGTGGCAAACACTGACAAACTGGCCAAAAAAAAAAGATACGCTCCCGAAAAGATCCCCTACGGAATCACCCGCTACGTCAACGAGACGCGCCGACTGTACTCGGTCCTGGACAAACACTTGGCCACCTCGCCCTCGGGCTTCATCGTGGGCGACCACATCTCCGTCGCCGACATCACGACCATTGGCTGGGTCATCTGGGCGGGCTGGGCGGGCGTCGACATCGACGAGTTCCCCCACCTCAAGAAGTGGGAGGAGATGATGTCGGCGCGTCCGGCGGTGCGGAGGGGGTGCGACGTCCCCAA